GTCAAATCTCTCCCAAATCTCCCTCAAATAGTTCCCGTAACTTTTTAGAATCATTCAGGTCATTCCGACCCTTAACCGGGTCAAAAACGGCTTAAAACGGGGCGAAAACGAGAAAAATAGGCTTTAGGAACCGAAACCAAGAAGAGAGGCCTCTTAGGACCAGAACCGAGCCTCGGTCTCTACCTCTCTCGGTCTCTACTCCTTCTCTCCTCTCTGTCTCTACCCGCCTCTCGGTCTCTGCTCTCTCTTCCCTCCTCTCGGTCTCTGCTCCTTCTCTCCTCTCTGCCTCTACCCGTCTCTCTGTTCTCTTCTTCCCTCTCGGTTCCTCTCCTCTCTCTTCTCCATTCTCGGTTCCTGCTCTCTCCCTTCTCCCCTCTCGGTTTCTACCCTCCCTCCTCTCGGTTTCAGCATCAAAAGGCCGAACCTCGGCCAGGTTTCGGAAATTTGTCACTTTTAGCCCCTTTTTGATATTTTTAACATTTTAAGCCCGTTTTTCGTGATTTTAAAGCGGGATTTTCTCCAGAAATTATATTTTAACATAATAAACCCTAAATATTCATAATTCAAACATATTTTGATGAAAATAATTATCTAAATAATAAAAATCAAATGGGTGAATTATTAAAGGTGGAGTGTTGACTTTGCCTTATCCAATGTCACAAGCAACCACCCCACACCCACTCTTTGACTAACCACACCTCCCCACCTTACCTAAGTCACTTCAATGTCCCTTACACTCAATTTACACTCATTCCCACGTTTTTAGAGCTGGAACAAACATCCTCTCTCCTCATTTCTCTCATTTTCTCTCATTTCACTAAGTATCAAACACCACTTTTCTCTCAAACTTTTTCTCCACCAAACTCGAGATTCAAGGCTGATTATCAAGTGTTCTTCCACATTTGGTAATCATAATCCATTATCCTTATGATTATCTCACTTATTTCCACTCAAATCATGGATATCTTACACAAACTCCATCATATTTGTGTTAGAGCTTCGAATCTTCAAGTGATTCCTCAAGTGTTCTTGGCTTGAACACTTCTCTTCTTCAACACTTATCTACTGAAATCACTCAAGGTGAGTTCATACCCCTACATTTTCATGTTTTCTCAAGTTTTCAGGGGGGGAATACAAGTTAAAACACTAAGAACATAACTAAAATTTTCTAACAGCCTTCATCAGAAAAGTTCAACTCCATTCACGGACTGTTTTGGGCATCTTAAACATTTTTGTTTACAAAACTGTACAAGGAGAAAATAGTTCAAGTTTTTAGCTTTAAAATGACTACTTTCACATCTCCATACGATTTTTCTACAATTTATGGTGATTTTTACAAAACTGCCTATCATTTCAAACAACAATCCGGACCAGTCTGTGATTATGGACTTTTTCACCCAAGTTGGAGGTCGTTAAAAATCGTGATAAAAATTATGAGTAAGCTAGACACATTTTGTGAACTCTCAAAATTTACGGATCTAGTTTTTGACTTCGTATGATTTTTCTATGATTTTTCCAAAACAGGGCAGAATGGCTAAAGTTAGCCAACATCATGTAAATATCATAACACTTTGTATTATGTTGAGCAAAGTGTATAATCATAAGTTCTAATTATTGAATGTGTTTCCTTGTTAGTTTGTCATCATGAACTGAAACTAAGTAATTCATAATAAATATTAATCATTCATTTTAGAACACGTATATTAAACATAAAGGTATAGTTTGATAAATTCATAATACTAATACATTTCCATAGAAGAGTTCATACATATTACATACATTTTAGATAAACTATAATAGGTATAGTTTATGATACATCACTCAACACACTCGTACAAAAAGGGTACATTCATACAAGAAAGATTTATATTCACACACATTTCACGTAAACTTGTTATCCTATATTGTGAGACTCTCTCTCTCTCTCTCTCTCTCTCTCTCTCTCCCCGTACGTCCGAGTGCGGGATATAATTCTTGGTAGTTATAATCAGAATCTCCTTGAGGGAGAACATGATACTTGTATATAGATCTATATTGGGTTTGACACCCCACACCTTGCTGCTAGCTACAGTTGGACCTGCAGGTCTACGGGTGACAAAAGTCATTTCAGTTTTCGCGACGCCTGAGAACGTCGTGGCAGGTTCACATAGTCATAGTATGATTATAGCGACTCACATAGGATATAACAATCCATAAGTTTACGGGATTTTATTTTTAAAACCTAAATGAGTTTTATGTCGATTTAAAATCACTTTTTATCTCTATGAGTACAGATTTTACTGTACACTTTTGGTTTTGGTAGTTACGACTACACATCATTTGAAACCACATTTATACCTTTAAGTATGGTCAATACTTGTTATTACCCGGTCCTCTAATTTAGGACTACATATATATAATGTATTAACAAACATGAGAACGTACAGAAATTTCATTTAATTCAAAAGCGTCCATGTCCATTTAAATACATAACATTTTCTATTAATAAGAAAGGTTACTTATACGTTTTGGTCTTCAGTCATAAGACTACATTACACAGATTTTAAACAAAATATCGGATTTTCCGGATACATATTCTAACGCTTTTACAAGGAAAACGATTTACTTTTCTAATGAAATCTCTTATGAACTCACCAACCTTTGTGTTGACACTTTTCAAAACTACTTGTATTCTCAGGAATTCAGTGAAAACAAGAAATCAACAACGTTTTGAGGATGGGACGATAAATCGTCAAACAGTTCATTTTGTATCATACTGTAATTGATGTGAATCATGTAAACATGTGCTTTGATGTAACGTTTTCAATTATATTTGTGTTGGTTGTATTTACTTTGAGCACTATTATACTCATTGTTGTGATACTCTACATGAAGTCATCCACCCCCGGACGTTTCCGCCATCCTTGGTTTGGGGGTGTGACAGTTTATGCCCTTTAAATTGTTTGTACATCTACTGTTTTAGCACTTATTGTCCATATATTGTTGTTTGTTGCTTTGAAAAATTGTGATTTTAATAGTTATTTACCAATCCTTTATTTGGGCATAATGTGACCAATACTTTATTTGAGCATGAGGTGTGCAAGAAATAATAACGTACAAATTGAAAGTGTGATGCTATTTCAGAAATGGTGTTTTGGTCATTTACTTCACTACATCAATACTAATATTTGGCCATTGAATCATATATTTTTTTGACAACTGCTTTATCATTTTCTGTAATTAGGTTTTGTGTTACCAAAATCACTCCCAAAATTTCGAATTTGTCCATAAGAAGATGGAAGCTTCACTAGTTTCGCCAAAAATGCAACAAGAATGACCAAAATACCCCTGTTTTTAGTTTCGCCAAAAATGCAACAAGAATGACCAAACTACCCTTGTTTTTAGTTTCACCAAAAATGCAACAACAATGACCAAACTACCCCTGTTTTTAGTTTCCCCAAAAATGCAACAACAATGACCAAACTACCCCTGTTTTTAGTTTCACCAAAAAAGGAATAAGAATGACCAAAATACCCCTGTTTTTAGTTTCGCCAAAAATGCAACAAGAATGACCAAACTACCCCTGTTTTTAGTTTCGCCAAAAATGGAACAAGAATGACCAAAATACCCCTGTTTTTAGTTTTGCCAAAAATGCAACAGGAGTGACCAAACTACCCCTGTTTTTAGTTTCGCCAAAAATGCAACAAGAATGACCAAACTACCCCTGTTTCTAAATTAATGACCAAGATGCCTATGTTTTGAAATTAATGACCAAAATACCCCTGTTATAGCAGCCATGTGTGAGGGTTTGCATGCGGTTCTATATCATTGAATAAAAGTTCATTGCTATTTCTCCTCCATTATAATGGCTTGATGACAGTTATACCATCCATACAAACAACCATTATATACTAAAAGGACAATGATATTTCTTCTAAACATTGTTAAAAGCAAAGTCAAACTACAAAAAGTATATTGATATTTCTTCTAACATTGTTAAAAGGGAAATCAAAGTGAAACTACAACTTACCATACATACTAAAAGAAGTACATTGCAATGATTTAAATATATATACTACATCATTAATTTCACTAAAAACACAACAAAAATCATGATTATGAACCACTTATGAAATCGTAATTTCCTACTCATTTGTGTCAATTCCTTACTTAAAGTAATATATTCCTTCTTTGCTATCCCTTTGTGCTCATTGAAATCTTTTTCCAAAATTGATATCCTCACTTCAATGGAATCTACTTTTATTTATGTTTCATCTCTCTTATTCGTGTTTCTTACTCCTTCATCGTCATCAACCCATTTCCAAAGAGAACAATTTGGTGTGTTTGGATCCTTCATATGCAGAAAAAAAAAATTACCATCTGAAGAGGGAAAACGACATTAACTAAGGAAGTATGTATACAAAAGGTATGATAACTTACCAGTCGGTTGGGACAAACCCTAAATTTTTTCCCAGGATTCTTTTTAGTGGTTGAAGTCCAAATTTGCGATGGGAACCCACAACCACAAGGGTATGAATCATCAACCATCTTCTTTGTCTTTGAAACGTTAGAGCTTGAGGATGGGATTATGGATTTGGCAGAACAAGATGAAGCCATTAAGATGCTGACGAAGGAGACGATGTAGGAGAGAAACCAGTAGTGCTCGTCCCTTATTATGCAAAAGCCCTAATTCGTTTTCAAGAAAAACTTATATGCCATGTCATTAATTTTAAGTCACATCAACAATTTTTTAATCCTTAACCTACAACAACCGGTTACCATAGGTAACATTTGAACAAACAGTATATTTTATTGGTATTTTTTAAACAATATTGTTATTTGGATGGTATTTTTTAAACAATGAAAACTTAGATGGTTTTTTTTGAACATTTATGAAACTTTCTTACCCTTATAAGTCATTTTCCCGTTAAAAAAATATTATTGTTATACAAGTATATGTATGAGAGTTAGGGGCTTTGGGTTCAATCGGATCCGGCCCATATAGCGGCAACCCGTGATCCATGGTTGGCTCCCGTGATTGGCAGGGGATCCACTCGCATCGCTCCTTTTCTCGCTCTCACCGATTCATCAAACACCACCTGTTTCATTTAACACTCCAAATACGTTAAATCAAAACTATAAAACCCCAACTCCAATGAATCCTATCACCACATTCCCCACTCTCAACACCACTCACGCGCCCCATTTCACCTCACACACCATGTGGGCCCCACAGCATCAACACGCCACCGCCTGATACGCGCGTGGAGAATCATTCCCTCACGCGCCCTGGAGAATTTTGTTTGCCCTAGTCGCCTGCGAACTCTCCCCTCTCTCTATATCGGGCATCATCATGCTTCATCGTTTCCGCCTCCGATCCCCGTTCTTCGATTCGCATTCGATTGCTGCTATCGTTCGATCCGGATTACGACGTTCTCTTGATTGGCGCTTTTGATCTTCCCGGTGAGTTTGGAGATCCCTGGTTTTCGGTTTTCATTTAGATCTGTAAATTTATGATTTTTGTGATGTTGAAAGATGCGATTCTTTTGAAATTTGAGTTGGATCTGATGATTTGTTGTATTTTTGGTTGAATTTGCAGAGTCAAAGATGGAACCCATGGATATTGTTGGAAAGGCGAAAGAGGATGCTTCGTTACCGAAAGGTTTGTTTTATATCTGTAATTTTTTGTACGTATGTGTGATGTCTATTGTCATATTGTATATATGAAGCTTCCATATTTCGGTTGTCCTTGTTGTTTGCTCTGATTTTGTGGTTAATTACCTAATCTCATCAGGTTCACCTCGTGGGTCTGCAGATAGAACTTTTAGGTGCTTTTTCCTTTGTTTTTTATTTTTATAAACAATTTACACATGGAAACAATCTGATTATTCGGAGGATTTTAGTAATTTAATGTTGGTATCATCTGGTACACGATCTTGGTGTCAGAAAAGGAATCATTCTGACTAATGGATTTATAATTTGATCATTATACAGACACAGATACTTGTATACATGTTATAAATATCTGTAAGTATGTTCTTGTATGACTATGGGGTTTGCTCATTTTGAGCACCCAAAAATTGTGGGGTCTTTTGCATCCCTTTTGTTGGATCTCCTAACATGGGTACTTGTGAATTTTCTTCATGATTTTAAATTAAAGTTTTCTTTCTTCTACAAAGGTACCATTATTTCATTTTCCTTAAGAAGTTATTCTCAACTGTTTAAACTTTGTATTGTTTTGTTGATCTTAGTTTTATTGTGTTTATCAGATCACTGTTATGTTAGTCTACATCTTTTTCTTTTGGCTCAACAATTTCTTTTTGTGGATAAAAGAATAAAGATTGGTTTTGTAATGTGAATGGTGAATTAATTGTTATGCTTTCTTAGTGTTCATATTTTTTTTTTTACTAATGGAAGATTTGAAGATAGTAATCCATATGCATGTGTTATTTTATGTCTGTGTGCATAATCTTACATTGAATTTATGTTTATGTTTTATGCCAGTTATGTTTATGCCTAAAATCGTATTCATGTCCTCTGCTTTATTGATATCCCATTGTGGGCTTGGCCCACTAAGCCACCCAAGTGTTGTAAGGTATCATTATTACATTGCATACAAGTCAAGTGTTGCATATTGGAGTTTGGAAATGATTTGTAATTTGTGTATTTTGGTATAAAATAATTATTCTGCTTTACTACACTGAACAAATGATTATCATTCACTATAAATCTACATGTGTAATTGACTAAAATAACGCATGTGTAATCTCTCTTTTAATAATAGCTTTCTTGCTAATGAAAGTTATTATTTATATGCAGCTACAATGACTAAAATTATTAAGGAAATGTTGCCTCCAGATGTACGTGTTGCAAGAGATACTCAAGATCTTTTAATCGAGTGCTGTGTAGGTGAGATCCTTATTATTATTATTATTATTGTTATTATTATTATTATTATTATTATTTAAAAGTTAAAAACACATGAAATAGCAATGTACTTTCATTTATTTGTGTATTATAGCATCCAAAGTACAATGTATATTGTTATTTCTTGCATTCAATCCTTTAAAAACAGTTTTTTATAAGGTCATTACTTTTGCAGAATTTATTAATCTGATTTCATCCGAATCAAATGAAGTTTGTAGCAGAGAAGATAAAAGAACAATTGCACCAGAGCATGTTCTCAAAGCACTAGAGGTGAGGTTTGTTGTTTAATTATTTGCATAAGAGTAAATTACACGAATGGTCCCTATGGTTCGGGGTAATCTACACGTTTGGTCCCTAACTTATTTTAAATAAATTAAAAAATCAACAGCAAAAGCAAAATAGTCTTTTTAGGTAAGACAAAGACCAAACACCCAACAAAAACAAATAGTACAGACCTTCCGAATTAAAAAAAATAAGTTAGGGACCAAACGTGCAAATTACGCCAAACTATAGGGACCATTCGTGTAATTTACTCTTTACATAATCATGATAACTATATTTATTTATGAGTAAAAATTACTGAAATCGTCACTCTGGTTTGATCAAAATTGCATGTTTGATCCCTAACTTTTTTTTTTTGCACTCAGATCGTTCCTGTGGTTTGATTTTGTTGTGTTTTTCGTCCCTTACATAAAGTTACGGACCAAACGTACAATTTTGACCAAACCATAGGTACGAAAAATGCAACAAAATCAAACCATAGTGACGATCCGAGTGCAAAAAAAAGTTAGGGGTCAAATGTGCAATTTTGACCAAACCATAGGGATGAAAAATGCAACAAAATCAAACCATAGGGACGATCCAAGTGCAAAAAAAAGTTAGGGACCAAACGTGCAATTTTGACCAAACCATAGGGATGAAAAATGCAACAAAATCAAACCATAGGGACGATCCGAGTGCAAAAAAAAAATTAGGGACCAAACTTGAAATTTTAACCAAACCATAGGGACGATTTGAGTAATTTACTCTTTATTTATTTACCATTGTTCAGGTTCTTGGTTTTGGGGATTACATAGAAGAAGTATATGCTGCATATGAACAACACAAACTGGAGACAGTGGTACATTTTTTTTATTAATATAAAAAATATAAATATAATAAACAAGTGAATGAATATAATATAAAATATAAGTAAAAATGATTGAACAGGATACAGTGCGAGGTGGAAAGTGCACAAATGGAGCTGAGATGACTGAAGAAGAAGCATTAGCAGAACAACAGAGGATGTTTGCAGAGGCACGTGCTAGAATGAATGGTGTTGCAAAGGCTCCTCCAAAACAGGCTGAAGCTGAGCCAAGTTTAAACAGCTAACTTAAACTCCTATCACCTCTAAAATTAATTCTAGTAGCTTCTTCTTCAGCCACTCTTTCTCTAATCTTATCTACGATATGTACAAAGTCCCTTTGGCTGTTGCCTGTTTGAATGTTAGTGTAATTTGTACCTCTCTCCCGATTTATGTCTATATGCTTGCTGATCATTAGTAAGGTTTTAGTCAAAGTCATAGCTGCCTCTTATTTGTTTAGGCGATCTGCAGCTCAATGGTTTCTTACTTTATTATTGTTCAAAAGGGTAATTAAATACAAGGTTGCTTACATTATTTTCAAGATTTACTGTTTTATCATTTTTATGTTCATGATTTATTTACCGTTTATGTGTTGGTTTTTATTTTTATTTTTATTTATTATTTTAATGTAATGACATAGGCAATTACTCTAGACAATTGTAGTGACTTAATGGGTTGAGAGAAAAAAAATATATATAATGGGGTGATGTAAACAAGACACCAATCTTTTTTATTTACCTAGTTGTGCTTTCTTTCACTTCCAACATTTCTTACGGTGAAATATGATTGAATGTAATTTTTTTTGTTAAAAAATGTAATACTAAATTACACGAATGGTTTTTATGGTTTGGGATAATTTGTATGTTTGGTCTTTAATTTATTTTATCTAAAAAGATTATTTTCTCATTTATTTTTTAATTTATTTAAATAAGGTGTGGTAAATAAGGTAAGATAAGATGGGGTGGAAGTGGGGTTGGAGTTTGGAGGTGTGTTTATTTAAATAAATTAAAAAAATCAATGAGAAAATAGTATTTGTAGATAAGGGATCAAACGCACAACAAAAACAAACAGTATGGATTTTCCAAGTTAAAAATAAATAAATTAGGGATCAAATATGCAAATTACCCTAAACTATAGGGACCATTCGTGTAATTTACTCAAAATGTAAGCTAAACGGTCTTTTAATCTCATTTAAGTGGTTTTTTTTCAACCTAGGGAGAAATTAGGACTATATGACTATGTACATATCATTTTATCTATACATGTATCATTGTTTATTCAAACATTTAAAATATACAAGGCTTTGGAAATATAAACAATATATTATTTATTCAAACACTTGTGCTCTTGTTTTACTGTTTCAAGGAGTTTATTGCACTTTTTTAGAATTATTACAAATACACCCATTTACAAATTATAAAAAAACATAATCTTTTACATGTTTTTTATATGTTCATTTTATATATTTTAAGTTTATCAATTGGTTTTTTATAAACATCATTTCTATCGGTTAAAACTAAAGTAAAGTTATTAGGACCTTTTGTCACATCCATAAAAGTAGAAAATACTTTCGAGTTTTAACCTACGGAAAAAACGTGAATGTCTTTTTTTTTCCTCGTCATTGAATAGTCATATTTAGTGTGCCAAATAATATTTCTTGGATGTTTCTATTACATTTTGCATGGAAATTGTAGATACATGGATATAAGAATCTTTTAAGTACTGAAAAATGATGTCATATTCAAAAGGATGAATTTTTAATTTCATGTTCATTATTGGTAATTGTAGGTTAAACAGCTATTGCGGTCAAAAATATAATAGCGGTCACCGGATGCTATTTGAAATCGCGGTTCTCGCGTCGATATAGTGGTGATATAACGTTTTTTATATTATTTAGAATTTATATATATTAGAGTATTAATCAGTCAATTATACTTCAAAGTTCAACCCAATTCAGTGAGTTAATTAATCAATAAATCATAATTCACATATCATATTTAGCTAATCATACTTCACATATCAAAATTAATTAATCATACTTCACACACCGGTTAACAATATCATAGTTAATCATACTTTAACACAATCAACAAGAAAACATATGTAAAACTTAAAATTTTATTATACTTTAACATAATTACAGTTAGCAAATAAAATGATTAAGTAATTTGATAGTTAATCATAATATAGTACTTCAAATTTTCAACACAATTAACAAGACAACACATAAATGGTTTCATTGAAAGTCATGACAATCACAAAATTACAATTTTATTCAATGGAATAACACAAAAGTTTAGGTTTGGGCTAAGAAATAACAATTTTATTCAATAGAATGACACAGAAAAACTTTTTTTTTTATATAAAATAGCCCAAAAATGGAATTTATTCAAATAGCGGTTATAGCGCCGCTATAGCGGTGACCATAATCGCAGTAATAGAGGTAAATTGCAAAGCTAATAGCGCCACCGCTATTTTGAAATAACGTTTCTTTACCTCCGCTAACCGCTATAACACCGCCATTAACATCATCGATTGTAGGTGATTTCCATGTATGAGAATATAAGTTATTGTATGTATCAATAGGGCCCAACTTTTTACTTGGTTTCTTGAACATCACATGATCTACTTTACCATTAACTTCCTTTATTGATTCGTTAGCTTCTTTACGCCTCTATGCAAGTGTTATTGATAACATCTTTTTGTTCGTATTAGTAATAGCCATATCCATATGTGTTCAATAGTTATTGTGGCATGTTCATTAATCTTCAGCTATTTAAAAAAAAAATCATACGTATATCGTGTCCTTTTATTTAATGCTAACTAGTGCTGGTGTGTTTTCTTCTAGTTCTAGACATATTGAAATGATTCATACTATTTTTTTTTTTTAAACGTAATGCCAAAAGCGGCCTAACATACAAAATTCCGACTTTTCTTAGTCTTAATTTTATTTTTGAGATTTGTCCGCAATTATTCTTCTTCTTTTCATTTGTCAAATAGCATTAATTTGTAGAATATTTTTATAAATATTATTTATCAAGACACGATAATGGATTTTACTTTGTCTATAGTTTAAAAACAAAACAAATTTTAACCTACGTAATTTTATGCCCAATATGCATCTTTATTAATGCACAATGTCCAAATATAAACAACACATCTAATCACACATCAACAGATCTTATTGATTGAAAATAAGATCTACTTGGTTTTGAGAAACTTACAACTGAAAACTCACTACACAAACACTCACACTCAAACGTATACAAAAAGAAACTAAATATTTAAGATTTTACAGAACAAAATCAACAAGATCAGAACAAACCCTAAACAGACCAAAACTCTAATTTGAAGAAGATGAGAGAACAGAGAGACTCAAGCGTATATGTGTGATAAAAATGATCTAAATAACCTCCAAAACAGCTGGAACCACAACTATATACCTCGGGTAATATCCATAGATCAAAACCAGATTTTATCCGACCCAATCCCATCCTTGAAGATCCGTGTGTTTTCTAAGTTAAAAGAAAGTGAGCTGCAATCCTGCAATAAACAAAATAATACACAATGCATCCAACACCACAAACCTTACACCATTCTCACAATTAACCTTCTCCAAATTTACAGTTTTAACCCAGTTTAAGGAAATATTTTCAATGTTAATCTTGCCAAAAATAAACATACATTTAACATCCACTCTCAAAATGAACATTGAGAGAGGAAAACAATTTTACTCAACTTTAAATGGATCAAAAACCCCAATTCAGAAGATAAAAAATCATGTTGCTTTGAAGACAAAACTTTAGTTAAAATATTAGCTCTTTGATGTTCTTAATCAATCTTAATAATTTTCAAAATTCCCTTTGAAACCCTATCTCTCACAAAATGAACATCTACTTCAAAATGTTTAGTTTTCTCATGAAAGATAGGATTAAGAGCTAGCTTAATCATTATTGTGACATCCCCATTTTCACGGTCAGAAAAGACCGATTTTGTTTATGCTTTATAAAAATCAGAGTTCTTCTTTTAATAAAAATGTTGCGGAATTTGTTCCCAGAAAAACATGATAAATACGTTATTAAAATTTTTTCGAAGAAACATATTTTATTCATTTCAAAACGTTTGGGATGTCATCGTTAATACAGAAACATAAGTATAAACAGAACTTACATTTATTTACACTAGTGATCTACATCTCTTTAAATCTCTCAGTGTAATGTGACTTCATATCAACACATGTGATATAAATAAACTGAGTGGGTCAGGTTGGGAAACCTGGTGAGTACATAGGGATTTCAACCCACAATAATATAATTATTATGTTTAAACAATCAAACAATCAACCCAATTACCCATCCCCATTATCTTCTTTATTCTTAAGGATCTACCCTAAGAAACAACTATTTCTCATTCATTCATTCCTAAGGATCATCCTAAGGAAATAACATGAAGTCCATTGTTGCCAATGACACATTGGTCAAGCGCAACTGCTAATCTTGTCACTTAGGCGCAACTGCCAAAATTGGGACATTTTCTATGAGGCGCTTCTGCAGGTATTGACCTTTAAACGCTACTGTTATGGTCATAAGGCTCCCTATTAGGCGCAGCTGCCGATACTGTCCTTAGAGCGCAGCTGCTAGGACGTTTACCATAGATCTGAAACATCTATGGGTTGTGGCGCAACTGCCAATGCTCATCTATAGGGTACTAGGTCGATTGCTGCCAATGTATACCTATAGGGCACTAGGTCCATGCTACTAATGTTCCTCTATTTCAGCTTTTATCCCTCATCATTCATCTACCCATGTTTTACCCAACATATTTTGTAGATATAAAATACTTTATACAGTTTACATCATTTAAAACATGTATAAAAATCTTTCACCAACATAGACAACAAGTATTCAGACAATATGCACACATAGCACGTAATTTTTAATAAAATACTTCATATCTATGTGTAAGATGAAAGGGACCATGCACTCACTTGAAAAGTGGTGACTTAGTACTCGAACAACGCTTCGATACTCTCAAAACAATTTCCTTCGATAAAATCTAGTACCAATACCACTAGGGTTTAGTCTAACGATAACCACGACAAATTAATATTCTGACTATTATTATTATCATATAAGTGTTAAATAACACTCAATATAATTCATAATAATAGCCCAAATAATTATTTTAAGGGCCTAATAACATTCCTATAATTATTTGAAAGCTATATTAAAAATTGCATAAGCGTAGCACACTTACAACGAATTTTATCGAAAACCGAAACTTTATTTGGAGCAACGTTTCGAAACCGAAAGACTCTTTTTCTCAGGACTCCGGGAGCCTCAGGGCTTCCTTCGGGTGCTAGGTATTTTTCCTAGGGCCTAGGGATGGTTTGGGAAGCTAGAGAGAGAGAGAATGGGATTTGGTGCAAGAAAACCGGCTGCATTCGTAGCTTATTTATAGGTACCCCTCCTCGGAACGTTGGGCGTACTCCTCGGAGTACGCTGGGCGTAATGGACGCGTGTCGCGGCTTCGGTGGTGCATCGTGGACAGCTCCGGATCGCACAAGTCAGCAGACCGCTGGGCGTACGAGCCTTGG